AAATAGACATCACATAGGGTTTTTACTTAGGTTTAACTATAAGTCGGGCCGGATTTACTTAAATTTAACTATAAGTCGGGTCGGGCCAGGCTGGGCCGGCCCGTCAGGCCACCCGGCCCATGAACAGGTCTACTTGTGATGAGCTAAAGTCATCGCCTAGTCAATTAAAACAGCGATGAGCAAAAAACGTTGTTTCGCGCCTATGATGATGAACCACAACGAATTGCCCCATTGCATCCTAGCCTAATCACCTCATTTGCACGCATCAATGACTTGAGAATAGCCTGCTCCCAATATGCGGCCAAAAGAGCTCTCAATGGGTCGTAGCGAAGATGTAGTAAGTGAGAGTTCCAAGGGAAAAGAAAATCCTAATCCCAAAGGATATGGCTGGATACGTAGCAAAACCCTGGTAGAGCCCATGCAATAAAGGCCATAGAATCATGATTCTCCTCCTTAAAAGGGAAAAAACTCTTTATTTGGAACGTTTCTCCTTATAGCTTTGGGATCTCCTCTAGAGAGCTCACATACGAGACATGTCTCTAGATTCCCGGCTTCCCTATCCTCGTGAGTCCTCTTACTCCGTCCCTTAAACTTCTTGTGACAATAAAGATCAAAGAAGGAGATTGAAATAATATTGCATACGTGATTGTTCAAATATGAAAAGGGGAATATAAATTAACATTGAACTCACCAATTACAGAGTGACGTATATTGAATGTAAGCCAGCCATTACCCATTACTTGACTCAAAAATGTAGTAGAGTGGGAAGGGGACGTGAGAAGAAAGATTGAAAGAACTGTAAGAGAATAAAATTCTTTTATTTTTGAAAAGACCAATGATAGAAATATAATTTTATGAAAAGACCAAAATACCCCTCCTTCTTCAATCATGTGAAATGTAATTTTTAGCAACATTAAAAACGGTAAGTGTTAATACAAAAAAAAATAAAGGATATATATTATTGTGTTTTAATTTTTTAAGTGTAAAAATCAACCACATGCGTAAGAACCACGAGAGGAGGAGAAGGAGAAGCCTTTCCATGAACATTGTTGTAGAGTAAGACCCTTTAATACACACCGCCCCCCCGGGTGCTTCGAAAATTGCATGAACAAAGTAGAATTCTTCAAAAAATCATTGCAAGAGATGGGATTTTCTGAGTTGGCAGCGGCATCCCACCTCCCAAGAAATAGCTAATAAATTGGTGACTTTTGAAATGAAGGATACCTTTGAGTGGATAATAAATAGGAATCTGTGAACACGTAGAATGAAAAGCAAATAAAGCTACAATTCTTCTATCGCTAGTTCAGAATGAAGGAACCCTTCCCTGTTCGGATCACTGGTTCTGACTTCTGACAAAGATTATATGTCAGACGAGCTTACTGGTTCGTTGACAGTCAAGCCGGTATGGGGATTGGGGAGAAATTTGGTTTACCGTCCCGTTAGCTCCGCATGCTGAGAGGGGAATTCGTGCAGGAGGACAGATGGTGGGCTTCCCGCTTCCATTGTGTGGAGCGCCCGGCCTTGGGGTGCAGATTTGATCTCCAAGATAAGAATCAAAAACCAAACACATCACTCCACAACGAGCATTTAGAAAAACTTTTGACATCTGTCCTTAGAAATATCCCCACCATACCCTTTAAAAAAAAAGATTAAAATTCACTTTTGACAGTTATTAAAATATTTATTAAATACGCATCGAAGACCTGTCCCCCCTGCCTGAGTCCTATTTTGGAGGAACTGATTGGTGCTGAAGTAAAGCAATATGCTTCGTCTTTGCCAAAAAAACAAAAAAGTTACATGGGCCCAAAGTGGGCCGGGCTTGGCTTAACTTTGGGCGTTAGACACAGAAAAGAGGGTGGGGGCTTCAACACATGGTTGCCTCCTTATGTAGATAGCAGATGGATGTCTTGCCTTCAACTCATGACTTGATACACATGTCAATTAATAAATATGTATTTTATATAAAATAAAATATATTTGCACGTATAGCATATATAATAATTTTTAGATTTTCAATAGGAGATCTATCATAGTTCATTATAGGCTCTGATTATTTGAAACATTTCTTCTTTCATCTCAATACTAAAATAACAAATAAAAACATCAAATGAGCAATTATCAATAAAATATATGGCTACACGAGTTGTGTTTATTCAAAGGTTAATTAGATACTTGGGTTGGGCCCAACCCAAAGTCAATTTGTTGGGTTGGATTAGGATTAATGGGTTTCAGATTGAATTGGGGTTAAGGTTATGGGTTTAGATCCTCAGGTTGAGTTAGGATTGATCTCAACCTGACTTAACCCGGCTCAACTTTAAGCCCCTGCTATGTTGGGCTATTGGTCACCACCACTTTTTCCCAACATTGCTCGGTAGCCACCATCAACAATCTAAGATAGCCCCCAATTCTACCTCAAAGGGGCTAGAAACTCGACCTACTGGGCCTCTTGCAGCCAAAATGAACGAATTATTATTTTTCAAGGCACAACAGAAGAAAAAAAAAAACTCATTACTTAACACACTTCCATTAATAGTTTAAAACCCTGGTTAAGAAAAACATCCACATCCATCAAGCCTTCCTGATTTTAAACAAATCTATATAGATATGTATCAATAATCATAGCAGAAAGTGTTTTACTAGTCCTCCTAATAGCTTTCAAAGGAGAGAGAGAGAGAGAAGCATTTTTAAAAGTTCTCTTATTTCTAATCTCCCAAATGTAAGTACATACCAAGCCACCCCCAACCATGAGACAAATTCAATTAAATTTCATTATTTACAATTCCAGAAAACAAAAAAAAAGAAATCTAAGCACTCAATGATAGAAGTGCAGGAAATTGCGAGTTCAAATCAGCCCCCCACAATGTCCCACAGCACATCCCACTGTATATTGAGAATATTTCCCGATGATGACATCATCATTTATGGTATTATCATCAAGTGATGTTCTCAATATACAGCAAGATGTACTATGTGACATTGTAAGGGGCAATTGTGGGGGGTTGCTGATTTGATCTCGGAAATGTCTCTCTAACCAGCTGGAGCCCTGCCAAAGGGCTAGAAAAGGGCAAGCAACAAACAGATGAAAGGGAGATTCTGTGTCTCCTTGAAACAACTTTGGTTAACAGATCTGGGAATCAAAATTTGAGGTTTATTTTACCATTTTTTTTCCTATAAAATTCTCCATTCCCAGACTGGCTTTCAGTATACAGAATCTTTGGTATTTTAAAGGGATCATTGATTATGACTTTCAGTGTACAGACTCAGTTCATTTGGTATTTTAAAGGGATCATTCAAATTTGGTCCTTACAAAATTGTCCTTATAGCTTTTTGAAATCGAAAACATTTTCATACTTATATATATTTTTATTCATGAAAGATATTTTCAATATACAGGAATTGTGAGGATCAAGTTCCAACTCTCAAAGCATCGTTGGCCTCAAAGTCTCATATTGAATAGGAGCAATAAGAGGTTGAGGTAACAAGTGATAGTTAGGACTAAGATATATGTTTGGGATGCTTGAAAGAAAGACAAAATATGCAATTTATGGGGGCAGGTCTGAGGTGTGATGTGTGTATGTGTGTAGATACACGCACGTGAGACCCTTAGTTTTAGGAGCTGGGCTGGATCATGTAGTTCTTGTTTCCTTTAGGCTACGCTTGTTTGTAGTAGTGCAAATCCAAATTTACATCAAGGATTGTAATGCTGATGGGTTCATGAGAATGTAAAATGGGAACCGGATGATGTTGGTCCCATTTTACACTTTTCGTGTTTGGTAAATCAGCCCAGCTAAAACTCCAACCTTGTTAAAACCCAACTCTTTCTAACCAACAGAAAACGGATTTAATCAGCATATGCAGATACAATAGCAAACACAGAGCGGCGCACAGAGAAGAACAACTCTTCACCAGAATAGAGTGAGTACTGGAATAGAAACTTAGCAGTCCACCAGACGGCGGTGGAGGAGACTACCTTCCAAAATGGAGCATTGTCTGTTTCAATCTGCACCAACAACAATCACCCTTAAATGCAAAAACGCAACACCGGTTTACAAATCTCCTAGCTATTCTCCTCATCTCACATTGCAAATACGCTCTCAATGCCCTGAGGGTCCAGATTATCATTTGGGGTAACTTTCGGAGCAGCACTCTCAACTGTCTGACCGAATATCGTCGAAGAAGGGTTTCTCCTTTCTCCGTCCTCCGCCCTCCGCCCTCCGCCCTCGAAGCCTGACTGAAAACACATCTCTTACACTCCATCCAAACAGCTGCAAAACCAGACTGGAGTGGAGTGTAATATTACACAGGTCCGGTATTTATACCGCAAACAAATGTGGCCTTAACATTTTTATTTCTTTTCTCAAATTGGTAATTTTAATATACATAGAAATGCCTGGTTTTGTAAAATCATTTTCCAATTAAGCCTTTCTTCTCTTATTTTTATGAGTTTGGAAGAGGAATGGTCATTGAATCATTGAATCAAAACAACCTAGAATCCATTTCATACTATATATAAACATACTGATAGTTCAAATTACACTTTATGCCCTCAGGATTATAGAAGCATCAAATTCAAAACTAAGGGTATTCTAATCAATAATAGGATTCAATAAATATTAACGTAATCGAGTTAATACCTTAAATATAAGACTTAATGATCTGGATTTGAATAGAAGAAAGTGATTGTTCAAATTATATTTTTATCCTTATGTCAACCAAATTCGAAAATTAGAATATTTTAATCACATAATTAAAAGTTGTACACTCTCATTCTTACTTTTAATAGTAGTATAAATATAAATATATTATTATTGCAAACAGGTTAGAGGTTTAACCTTGCATTCATAAAATAATTTCACTCTTTATTAATTTCCAACACATACATAAATATGGCACTAGAATGGTGGAACGAGGATATATATATATATATATATGTTGTTTTAACTTATTGCAACCCGAATCTCAATTTAAAGTCACAATTTAAACCCAAGAAAACAAAACAATCAAGACTCTGCTAAATAATTAAATATGTTAAATGATGGATTAACAATACTGAAGTCCCCATCAATAAAGAGGTTGTGCCCACTGACATATCTTGAATCATCACTCCCCAAATAAAGTTCTGCTTGAGCAACAACCTCTACCTTAAGGGTCACACCTTTGAGATTAGCTGCAGCACATATAATCTCTTCAGTCTCCTGATCACCATTCAGCTTAAAAGAACTCTTAAACAAAGGTGTAGCAATCCCAAAGGGAGATAAGCAGTTGACTCCGATGCCATACTTCCCAAGCTCAACTGCTGCATTCTTAGTGAGCCCAACACAACATTGCTTGATAATAGCAGGTTGAGCCCAAACGTCGCTAGCTAGAGAACAAGGAAAACACAACATTGCTTGATAATAGCAGGTTGACATTAGACTAACTGGAGTTTCCTCACCGTCAGAGCCTCCGACTGTTGTTGATCGTAAGAAGTCTCCAGCTTACCCTAATAATTTCTGAGTTGTGTCAGCCCTCTTCGGTGCGTTGTTCAAATTTTGAACACCTCACCTCTTTTCAAGAAATTAATAAAGTGTTAAAACCGCATCACATGTACCCAAAAAACAAACAAACAATCTAGTTTAGTTGAGATGATACATATATATAGTTCTAAGGCCACCATGTAGAACAAGGTAAATAACTGAGTATGAGTAACCTTAACTTGATTGATCGAACATACAAAAACCTTGATTCAAAACAGTGAAGGCACCATCTAGAACAAGGTTATGCCCACTCACGTACGAGGAATCCTCACTGCCCAAATAAAGAGCAGCCTCAGCTACGTCTTCCGGCTTAAGAGCTACTCCTTTGAGGTTAGAATAAGCATCAACAATGGCAGCATCCTCTTCCAGCTTTAGGAACTTCCTGGACTGTGGCGTTGCTACCGCATAGGGTGATATACAATTGACTCGAATGCCGAACCTACCAAGCTCAACAGCCGTGTTCCTAGTAAGCCCCAACACTGCGTGCTTTGAGCTTGTATAGGCGTGTGGTGTAGCCCCGCCGATGATTGAGCAAATGCTGGCCATGTTTATGATGCTACCACCACCATTGGCCAGAATCATTACACGGGCTGCATGCTTGGTGCCCAAGAAGGGACCTATTACATTGACATTCAGGACTTGCTGGAAATCACCTCTGTCATTGGCAAGTATATTGACTGTTGGTGACCCTATGATGCCGGCATTGATCAACATGATGTCCAGCTTTCCATGCCGGGCGACCGCACCGTTGACGGCATTTTCAACGTCGGATTCGTTAGTGACATCACAGTGGATGAAGGAGGCAGAGGAAGGACCTAGTTCCTTGCAGACTGAGTGGCCAAGCTCATCTTGGATATCAGCAATTACAACTTTGGCTCCATGTTGGCTGAATAACTTGGCACAGGACCGCCCAAGGCCGCTGGCTCCATCGGTCACTAATGCTACCTTAGCTTCCAATCTACAATGAAAGAAGGAAATAAGGGCACTGCAAGTAACAATACTAAGGATTGATCGGTTTGGTTTGCAGTCGGACTCGAAATCAAAATCCTCCAGATTCATGGTTCATTCCCATAGTCTGTTTGGTTTAGATAAACATGGGAATGAGAATTGGAATCAGCAGGAATAGGAATTCATTCCCAAGAGGGGGGGGGGCAGGGAATGGCCATTCCCTCAAATGGTGGAATGTCATTCTAGCAGGAATGGAAATGAGATTCCGATTCTATCCAACCAAACAGTTGGAATCGGAATAACCCATCCCGATTCCCATTCCAAACCCCTACTCCTGCAAACCAAACAAGGCCTAAGTCTTCTCGTTGTCAAACCAAAGCAATGGTAAGCCATTTTTATCATTTCTGCCAAGGGCAATTATGCATGAAGGGCAGTTGGGGTGTGCCAAACTTGCTTGATTCTAATCAAATCCAACCATAAGGCTCAAGGGTACGAACTTCATCCTGGATCTCTTAAAGGCAATCTGTTCACATAGCATCCAATCATACATTGGGAATATCTCCCATACATGTACACAAAATTCATGCATAGGTGTTCCCAATGTGCAGCTGGATTCTCGTGCTTTCATTGTGTGTAAACAGAGTTTTTGCTTATGGACACTCCCGATGCTCCATCTATGTCTCTATCTCTCTATCTATGTGACAGGATTCTCTGCAAGCAAAAACTCTACACACTGTAAAAGCATGGGAATCTAGCCGCACACTGATAACATACATGCATGTACAGGAGTTATTCCCAATGTGCAGATTAATTCTATGTGAGCAGAGTTTTTGGTTGCAGGGGATCCAAGCTCTCTATCAATTTGTTTGTTTTTCTATTTATCTATATATGCCACCCACCATGGTTTTTAATGTCAAAAACTTCCTGAAATTTAGCAAAATTTTGGTAACAGAACTACCAAACGATATATGACAAATACTGATCAGATTTATTTTGCTTTTAATTTGAAAATTTGTCCAATATTTTGGATTTTACCTTGGAGGCTTGCTCATCTGTTGACTGAAGCCAGAGATATTCTAAATTCCCTAAATGCCAAGCTGGTTTGGATTCCTAAGGAATTAAACATTGTAGCTGATAGCTTAGCCAAATCTGGAGCCCATAGAACTATTATGTTTTCTGATGTTCTGCCTGTGTAATTCTGTTCCTGCCTTCCAAAGGCCTTGTACTCTGTTAACTTTTCTCAGTTAATTCTTAATAAAATTTGTTAACCTTCTCAAAAAAAAGCAATTGGATTTTTACCATTTTTGCCAAAATTTCATAATACTATTAATATAAATAATATCCATAATACAATTATAAAAATATATTATAGCAGTTAAATAATAACTAAAAACCATCAGCCCAAATTTCTAAGATTTCAAAAAAAAAAAAAACATGGGCATGGGCATGGGCATGGGCATGGGCAGGTTATAAAAAAAAAAAAACCATCAGCCCAAATGAATTCAAGGTTGTGTTTGGACTTTGGACATAGCAGGTTATAAGGGCAGAAATGAAAAGAAAATCCAGCCCCCCTATATATACAGATTAATTCCAAAATCTGGAAACAAAAAACATGGGCATGGGCAGTCGACAGCAAGATAGAGAGGACTTGGTGGCTTAATTATGAGTAAGTGAGCATACCTCCTTGCAACAGCTGAGAGAATGGAGGAGCTGTTTGCCATGGCGGCAGGCTGCAGCTGAGATTATTGGTTCCAAGGCTTTTCATGAATTCATTTTCATCTCTCTTAAGTTAGTAAGATAAGCACTGTTTAGCTAGAGGCTTTCAATAGATAGAGTTATCTTTACAAAGTCAAGCGTTTACCAGAAGTCTTGGTGGAGTACTGCTAGGACCCGACTGACTAGTTCTGCCCACCGTGATTTATTGTCCTCTATATATAATAAGCTTTCTTTGATAAAACAACCTATGTTTTGAAAAAAAAAAAAAAAAGAAATCTTCGTGTGATGGTATGGGTGTAAATTGTCCAATCCGAACCAAAGGACCCACACTCCTTTTAACACTGCAGGTATATTATCATCACCATCAAGCTGTTCCCAACTCTTTTCAAGCACATAATCTTTCAAATATACTTTTAAAAAAATAAGCTAGGCGCGTCTACGGGTGCAAATGGATCGGATCATCCGCTCCGAAAAATTCGATCTGATGTATTGTCATATTTATAAATATAAATATATATTATATTATTTATTTTGTATTTTTATAAATTTGTTATATTATTTATTTTTATAAAAAATATGTATATATAATAAAAATAATTTAAAAATATTTATATTTTTTGTTTAAATTGATATATTTTATTTTTTTCATTTAATAATAATTATTTTTTAAAGAAAACAAGTCGGATCAAATCAGATCCAAATATTCAATTGGATTTGAATTCAAATCAAGTCCTATCAAATCCGATTAGATCTTTGGATCGGATTGGATTTGAATATACCCCGATTTGAATCCAATCCGATCCGTTTGCATCCTTAGGCGTGCCTGTTTGGGTCTAACTCTAACTTTGCAAGGTGGGTCTGTCATGGTCATGGAAAGATTAGAAGCTATGTTTGGTGAAAATGACTTTCTCATGCAAATAGTCTTTATGGTTTCTTCAAAAGGATTCAGTCAATGCAGCTCAATCAAAGCTGAAGCCCTCCCAAATGGGTCTTGAAAGCAATGTTGTAAGACTCAAAACTGTTTACAAAACCAGGAAAGGCTACAAGGTCACGGGTCAGATGGTCCAACCGCTTGGTCAACCCAGTGGCCTATGGTGTTATATGTAACATGCATATAACATTATTTTTTTTTTATATTGTAATATATGTTTAAGTAGTGATTAAATGGTTTGTTTCATAGGGTCCGTTTGTTTTAAGGGAATAATGGTTTGGAATCAAAATCAGAATGGATCGTTCCAATTCCAATCGTTTGGTTGGGTGGAATCGGAATCTTATTATTGTTTTTGTTAAAATGCATTTCCTCATTTGAGGGAATGATTTTGAGAATGAAATTTTATTCCAGCTGATTCCAATTCTAATTCCGGTTGTAAACAAAAAGACCCTCAGCTTTTTAATATAAGTGACCAGGTTCCAAGTCCTTTTAACTCACGTTTTACTCAACAACATATACTTATTTGAACAATTTAGATATTAAAGAGAGAACAACAAAGGTGATAAAATATTGCTCATTTAATAACTTATGATAAGGGAAAATCTTTGCCGATGGAAAGACACGGTATTGGAAGAGCTTTGACCAGTCAACACCCCTCCACCCGGCCCTCAATTTTGATAAAAACCTCCTAATTGGTTACCACACTTTTATATGATAACTATTGATTACAAGTTTTTCCAATATCATGTATTATCCAATATTATAGTCGAAACCTATGATAAATTAATGACCTAACGGTTGTTTGTTGTATTCCTGGATGGGTAATCAAGTCTTAGAATGGCCACTTTGAGTAATAAATGCTAAAGGATTCATAAGACCCCCAATAGATGGAACCAACGACATTGGGTAATGGCCTTTTTAGGGCTCGTAAAAATCAAAATGAATGTCGATTCTTAGTTTTTACGGTTCAACCATCCAATCTGGTCAGAGCAAGGTTTAAAAAATCGTAACATATTGGCCGATACTGATACATATCATTCCAGCAATATTTCAATACGTGGAATGCTACAAATTCAATAGTTTCGTTCCTTTTCGTCTGTATTGGATTGATACGGACCTATATCGAATACAGGACCAATACGGACAGATATTTTGAATGTATCGGCTGATACATATTGTAATATTAGATTATCTCTATATTTCTTTCATAAATAAGCCTATTTCATAATTCTTTCTCCCTAAGAGAGAGGTTTCCTTACCTTTCCCTTCCTTTCCTTGCTTTTTCCTTCAAATCAAACATAGCCTTAATAATTCATTTTCTCTCTTAATTAATAATTAATCACTACATTTATGACAATATTCAAATTCAAATTTTAATTTGACCTGCCATTAAAGTAATAAATTCGAAGTTGACATGTCATTAAACCAACATATTTAAAACTAATAAGAAAGGTAAGGAGAATTGAACCCAAGTAATTTGATTGTAGTGAACATAAGCAAACCATACACCATATTCAATTGTTAATTATAATGTATGTATTATTATTCTTAAGCAAATATTTTTCTTCTTAATGGATCTTCATTAATTAATCTTAAAATTGATTATTAAAATTTATATACTAATAAACATTAATACACATTTTACTCCTTCCATTATCTTCAACGATTACCTATTTGTCCCTATGGGTTTGTATGTTTAAATAACTTGCTTTCTTTATAAGTGTTTAAATAGCTTACGTTTTTTATACCTTAAACCTTGGATTCCAAGTGGCAAAGACCATAGAAGTAAATGTCTTTCATGGTTCACCTTAAAAGGTTCTGATTTTAGTTCAACCAGCTGGTCCTGTTAGGATTTCAAAATATTGCTTTTCACCATTTGTTTATCAATCAAAAATAGAATGTGCCTAAAGACACATTCGATATTTGATTGCCGATTGAAGAAAATTTGTTCATCTTTTCAGTAATTGTGTGATCTCTGATCTTCTACCCACACTCTATAGTTACTATAGCTGTACATTGAGAGCATTTCCCATATTTGCATGTTATCATTCATAGGGAAATGTTTCAAATGTGCATATGTAGCATCATGTGTACAGGTGTGGTCAGGATTCTTTCGCTACTTGCTGTGTTAATTTAAATTTGATTCTCCCCCTTTCTTGTGTACAGAACCTTAGGGGGTCTGAGATTGTAATTGATTTATTCTTCCCAAAAACTTGATATGAAATGTTAAGGTGATTTGCCACTTCTTGTGCTCATTCAAATTTGGTTCTCCCCTTTCGTTTGTATAGAACCTTAATGTTATGTTTGGTTTGAAGGAAAAAGTAAGAAAATGAAGGAAAAAATAGGAAAACCAATACAAAGAAGGGAAGAGATAGGGACGTAAAGGTTTTCCTATCCTTCCCTTCCTTTCTGGCTTTCCCTACATTTTTCTTCAAATCAAACATAGCCTAAGGAGTTTAAGATTGTAATTGATTTATTCTTCCCAAAAACTTGATATGAAGTGTTAGGGTACTTTTGGAGTAAACAACTATGGGCCATGCTCTTGTATTCCTGTTGGTTTACATGGTCATGTGACCATTTCCCAATGGCAATACAAAACCATTCTTAATAATAAAACGTTGATTAAATAAATTAATTGCAAATTATAAGGGTGTTTTAGTAATATATAAAGTATGGGATAGGTCTTAATAAATACATGAAACTATAAGATGTGTTTTAGTAAATGACCCTGAAATAAATAGCTAAAGAAAATGGAAAAGAAAATATTATTGATAACCAAAATAAAACATTAACATTTCAATGAGTAAATGAGAGAATTTTCAAACCTAAGCTACTAGGGGTGCTCATGATTTGGTTAACTGAACGAGTATTATCAGTTTCTGGAAAACCAATAATCAAAACCTAACCGAAGCCAATTGGTTAATCGGTTCGGTTCGTTAGGTTTTTGGTTCTTTATATTTACAATATATTATAAATAAATATATAATAAAAAATAGAAATACATATAAACTATTATATTTTAAACAATAAATAATATATATTTATATATAATGCATATTTATTGATTTATAATATATGGATAATATAAAATATTTATAAACATATATATAATATACATAAATGTACACATAATATATAGAAATATATGTATACCGGTCGATTCGATTAACCACCAATTTTTTATATTAGTTAATCGAAACGGCAAAACCAAACTAGTACCATCGTTTTTTTTTTTTAAATACTGAACTGACCAGTTCTATTAAATGGAGTTTTGGGTTCGATCTTATCGATTCGGTTTTTCTTGCCTATGAACAACCCGTTCAAGCTCGACTAAACCCACCCAAATGACCCAACCAGCTCAGGGTTTAACTACGGTCTGGGTCCGGCTAAAAATGATCACTCAATTCATGACACGTGTTTCACTCACGTGTATAAATACTCGTGATAAGAAACCACACGTGTAATGGGAAACCTCACATAGTGCACTATGCACGACCAAGTTCAGCAGATACGGAGATACCAGTGAAGACAGCGTCTCCCGCGAAAAAAGAGTGAAAAGAAAAGGGAAAAAAGCGCTAAGCAGACGCTTGAACTCGAACCAAGTTTGCCACTTTCGATTTTCGCCACCGCCCCATTGATAAAGCAAGCGAAGAAAGCAAAGAACCAAGTCAAAGCAACGAAGACTCGGGCAAGAAAGAATATATGTCTTCTGATTCTGATCTTCTCCCCCAAGTAGGGAGAACCCAAACAAATCCTTCCAAGCTACCCATTACATCTCCTCGATCAGACAGAGACCTTTGTTTTGCAGGGCGAGTAGTACGATGTCCATGACGGACCTTTCTCTTTTTCCTGGTTTTAGATTTTGTCCGACGGACGAAGAACTCATCTCTTACTATCTCAAACAAAAGATTTTGGGCATGGAGAAGAGTGTGCAAGTGATTCCCGAGGTTGTTTTCTGCCAACACGAACCTTGGGACTTACCTGGTGAGATACACTCATACCCATGGAGAGATTATTCTTTCTTTATGTTTGTTTGATTTGTTTTGAAGTGGTTTCTTTCTGATTCCTTTAAACTCTATTTGTTTAACTTGATTTTGATTGTGATTTTATAGAGGTTTTCTGTTGACATGAACGATTTCTTGTCTTGCAACTTTGAATGGATTTTAATGATCGTGGGGTGTTAAGCATGGAAGTTTTTTTTTTTTGATAGATAGAGTATGGAAGATTTGAGATACTGTTTCTGGGTTTTGGAAACTGATTAGTGCTGGTTTATTTTCAACCAGCCAAATCAATCATTCAATCGGATCATGAGTGGTTCTTCTTTGCTCCTCGCGGCAGGAAATACCCGAATGGCTCTCAAACTAAGAGGGCTACTGAAGCCGGTTACTGGAAAGCAACAGGGAAAGAGCGTCCAGTGAAGTCTGGTTCGAATTTGATCGGTGCGAAGCGGACTCTGGTGTTCCACAAAGGGCGAGCACCAGAAGGTGAAAGGACAGATTGGATAATGCACGAATATTCTATAAAAGGAAATTTTCAGGTGATTTTTTTTTACGATCCTTCTGTTGTTATGCTTGGCAGTTGCTTTAGTTCCTTTGGTTATCCCCCTGAAATGTCTCGATGAATTGAAATTTGATTAATGGCCAACTGTGTTTGACATTGCTTTCATAATTATTGATTTTAGGCTTGGGTTCAAGCAAATTTTGTTCATTCGATGAATTGTAGTTACCCCTATGCTGGACTGTGGGCTGCTGGCCATGCGTTTACAGAAAGAAAGAAGAGAAGAGAAAGAAAGGATTAAAGGGAAAAAAATACCTACACGAGTAACACATGGCTTTTGTACTCTTGAACCTTTTGGCACATTGTATACACTTCGACTGATACCTCTAAGATATGTCAATGGGATTCTCTTGAGCTAGAATTCCTCAGTCATATTAACTTCTAGAGAAGACAAAAACCTTTTAGTATATTAGTTCTACTTGTAAACATGTACTTGCATTTGCACGTGGCACTATCTCTAAGACAAAACTATTTATAATTCATGGACAGTTTTTGAACAGTTATAAGTGGTAGTTTATGGACAATTATAAGTGGGCAGTTTCTGGACAGTTATAAGTGGGCAATTTCTAAAATGAGAGTAAAGGACATATATGTCCTCTTTATGCCCATTGTATGTTTAGACAAGAGGGATAGAAAACGTCCAATGAAAATTCCAGAAAAAAGGGGCATTCACTCTTTTATAGGTAGTATAGATATAGATATAGATATAGATATAGATTACACATGGCTTTTGTCCCTACTTTTTAACAGAAGGGTCAAGAGATATATGCTGATTGATTATGTGAAACCAACAATCAAGCAGTCTTGACATGAACAATGTCTTACCATCTCCCCTCCCCCTTGTTTTGAATGGACTAGAGGAATAAGGTTATATGATCAGGCTCATAAATTATTCATATTATAGGGTATTGCTCATTATTTTTCATGGATATCATCATGCTAGATTCCAAGAGGAACTTGAACTTAAAATAACATACGACTGCTAGATGCAAATCTTCCTAGCTGCAGGACTCTTTTGTTGTTTGCCGCCTACGGAAGAAGCCCTCGTCAAGCCCAACGACCCCAAACTGCATCTCAGTTAGTCAAAAGGGTCTATCACCTCCAAGTGTGAATGCTTATGCTGTTGGTGAAAGAAACCAACCACAGGTTGGTACATCTGAAGCAGGGAAGGAAACAGAATGCTCCTCAGAGAAGCATAGAAGCAGTTCACAATGTTCTTCTAGTGAACAAGTTGATTCAGCATCAGATCTACCTGAGGAAACATGCTCTCTCCAACCCCATACTCATACCAGTGAAAAGGTGCGACTTATTGCTTCTTCACAAATAAGGCTGCAAATAGATTGGATGGAATTGGATTTATCTAGATTGATTTATTAACATTTGGATTTGGATTGAGTCTTATCCATTGAATTTAGTTTGGATTTGAATCTAACTTAGATGTTGAATGTAATTAAAAAATTAAAATAAAAACGACAAAAAAAGTGTATTTTATTAATAACATGAACTAAAAATGACTTTGATATTGTATATCATGTATAAAATGAATTGAAAATAACTTCCGTGGGACTTGAATCTATGACTCTTTAGTAAACACAGAACATTCAAACCAACTTTACTAAAAGATAAAATGTAAACTTTATGTAGATATAAGCACATATATCTAAGTGTTATCAGATTGGTTGGGGTGGATTGATACCTTTTTTCTATAATTCTATCCAATTATAAAGAGATTGGATTTAGATTGGGCTTCTAGTTTGGAAAATAGAAACTATTTTGTGGACTGTGGTCCTATTCATGGAGATTTATTTTATACATTTATTAGATTTCCATTCTCAGTACACAAAAGCCTCAATCTCATGCAGAGGGTTATTATTTCACCATAACCTTTTTTTTTATCATTAACCTTGAATTGTATTAATTGAAAAATGAAATAACTTTTCAGCATCCAAAAGGATGGAGAGAAGGCAGTACATTAGTACAATCAGCTCAAAGCTTCCAATAACTTATAATGTTACAAAGATAAGTATTTTTTTTTTTTTTGGATCAATAACTGTGAAATGTATTAATTAATATTAAGAAGAATTACAAAGCAAGGGGGCTAAACAATCTTAGCTCCCTATAACAGTCTATGAGCAGCAAATACAATTACAATAAAGCCCAAAACAAAGAGTTCCTATTAACCCCTTGCTTAACTAAACCACCTGCCAGTGAGTTTGCACTTCTCTTAACCCATTTGTACTGAATTTCAACATCCTTAGTCAGCCACTTAAATTTTCTTTTTTCATTGCTGTACTTCCATATCCTTGAGCTCTTAACTAGTTCACCACCACTTCAGAATCTCCTTCAATGATCAGCTTACTACTTTGCAGCTCCTTGTCTCTTCGTACCCCTTCAAGGGCTGCAAGAATCTCAGCCCTCAAGGAGTCTCCTTCCCCAGTTGGTCCTGAAAACACAGCTAACAGATTACCATGTTCATCTCTTATTGCTCCCCCTATTCCAGATGGACCTAGATTACCCATACTGCTGCCATCAAAATTCAGTTTAATAAAGCCGTTAGGTGGAGGACTCCAGCAAGAAAGTGATGCCTTCTTAGCTGAAGCTAATTCTGCAATTTCCTTCTAGGTTTTTACCATCTCATCTACTGAGAAATCTGCAAACAAAGGCAAAGTTTTTAGCCTATGTATCACCCTAATATGGATTACCTCCAAAATTACTTCCAAGATTCTCTCCTTTTCTGAGAATATCCGTGAGTTCCTCTCCTCCCAAACAGTCCAGCATATTGCAGCCCTCATACATCTCCACATAACCTTGGCCCTTTTTGTTGGCCCACTCGGCATGAACATGAATAAACTCTCCACATTCAAAGGGGAGGTCCACCTGCACCCAAACAAAGAAGTACACCACTCCCAAATGCTTTTAGTAAACCGACAGGAAATCAGTAAATGGTATTCAGACTCACCATCAGCTTTACAAAGAGCACACCAGTGAGGACATAAACAACTGTTGGGTCTTTTTCTTTGAAGTAGATCACATGTATTAACTCTTTCCAGAAAGGCTTCCCAACAGAAACTCCAAATCTTAGGGGGTATAGGAAAACACCACACCTCTCTAACAAGGAATGACAGACCCAAAGAAAGAGGTTGTGTTAGAGCTTTAAAGAAAGAAGCACATGTGAAAGAATCGGAGGGGGTGAGAGACCAAATTCTACTATCTGTCTTTGTTGGCTCTGAAAAAACCCCTTCAAGAATGGATAGCAAGGATAAGATACAACCGAACTCTGTGTCCCTGATTTCCCTTCTAAAGCCCAAGTTCCAATTGAACCTAGAAGTTGAGTTAGAAGGAACAAGGAAGGAGGAAACTGATTCATTTTTAAGAGTGGAAAGAGTGAAAAGACTCGGAAATTGGTCTTTTAAAGGAGAATCCCCAATCCAGATATGTTCCCAAAATGTGATGAGGTTACCTGAGTGCAAGTCATACCTGATCCATGGAGAGAACAAAGGCAAAATAGCTTGAATAGCTTTCCAAGGTGCTGCTCTTGTAGTCCTTGCCAAAATCCCAAAATCCCATCCATTGTCTTCTACTCCATGAATGCTGCCCACTATCTTCACCCACAGCTTATCCTTCTCCAAAGAAAATCTCCACAACCATTTCCCTAGTAGTGCCAAATTCCTACTCCTTATATTCCCAATACCCAAACCTCCCTCCCTCTTGCTATTACAAACCATCTCCCACCTAACCCTATGGTCCTTCTTCTCCTCCCCCGGCTCCCAGAAAATCTCTCGTTTGTTTTTCTAACCTGTTAGCCACCTTAGTTGGAATCTTAAAGACTGATAAAAAGTAGACGGGAAGGTTAGCTAATGTAGACCTAATTAAAGTGATTCTCCCACCAAGAGACAAATAGTTCCTCTTCCAAGTTGCAAGTCTTTTTTCAAACCTCTCCACAACTGGAATCCAAAACTCATCTTTTTGAGGGTTGTCTCCCAATGGCAAGCCAAGGTAATTTAGTGGCCAATTAGAAGCTGCACATTCTAGGATGTCTGCACACTCCGATGTCTCCCTCTCCCCCATATTTACCCCCACTAGACAACTCTTCTCAAAATTCACCTTAAGGTTTGACATTTGCTCAAAGAGTTGTATAGTGAGCTTTAGGTTTCTTATCCTATTAAGGTCCCCTCCTTCACAAAAGAGTATTGTGTCATCTGCAAATTGCAAATGTGTGAGTGGCACACTCTCCCTTCCAACTCTCCAACCTCTTATTAAGTCCTTGGAGTCTACTCTTGAAATTAATGTCCCCAAATCTGCAACCATCGTGAATAAGAATGGGGAAAGAGGATCTCCTTGTCTTATTCCTCTCAAAGATGGAAAGAAATCTACCACTGTCCCATTTATCAAAATGGATTAATGGCATTTCCTGATACATCCCATCATCCACTTACACCACCTGTCTCTGAACCCAAAATTGACCATCAGCTCCAACAAGAAAGACCAATCCACCATGTTATAAGCCTTTTCTAAATCCAATTTGCATACCACCCCTTTTTTCTTGGATCTCTTGAACTCCTCCAAACTCTCATTTTCTATAAGTATTTGATCTGTTATCTGCCACCCTTTCACAAAAGCTCATTGGTTGTCTGCTATAATTGTTGGGAGCACTTTTCTAATTCTAATGGACAACACCTTAGTGTTGATCTTATATAGGCTATTTACCAAGCTGATCGGCCTATAGTCCCTTGGGTGATTTGCATTCCTTTTCTTGGGAACCAAGGCAATGAATGTGGAATTTAGCCACGAGTTTATCACTCCTCTAGAATAAAATTCATCAAACACTAGTCTTAGGTCCTCTTTTAATATCTCCCAACAATCCTGATAAAAAGCCATCGTAAAACCATCAGGGCCTGGTGCCTTTGATCGTTCCATAGAGAACACTGCTTCATTTATCTCTTCCAATTCAAATTTCCTTTCCAGCCATTCCCTTTCCTCCAATTTCAGTGTAGGCCATTCCAGTCCTTCAAGCCATACCCTATTGTTTAGGGGTTTTCTAAAAATAGACCTAAAATGATTTGCAAAGGCCCCTGCAATTTCACTTTGATTGGAAATTATTGCCCTTTCAATCTCCAAACTTGAGATATAATTCCTTCTCCTTCTTCCATTTGCCATTGCATGAAAAAACTTGGTATTTCTATCCCCCTCTTTCAACCACTTACACCTTGACTTTTGACTCCAACTTATTTCCTCCTACAGAAGACAGTCCTCTAATTGTTTACGCAGATTCCATCTTTGCTCTTTATCCTCTTCTGTAAAACAACCCCTCCCTTCCTTACTATCCAAGGCCTCAATTTGAGCAGTGTTTCCTTTCCTCCAGTCTCCCAAACTCTAACAGATTCCACTCCTTGATTTTACTTTTTCAAATGTTGGAGTTTTTTTATGAAACCTCATTCCACTCCATTTCACTGTTGGATTACTCTCAAACCACCAATCTTTGACCTTCTTAATGAAACCCGGGTGTCCAAGCCACATGTTTTCAAATCTAAAAGGGGTGGGGCCTGCATTTCTCACCTCCTCCTTACAAATTACTATAGGCCAGTGAACAGATGTCACCCTTGGGAGTGTTCTAGAATTCAAACTCCCCCAATGTTCTTCCCAATCATTTGAAAACAAGAACCTGTCCAATTTGGAACAAATCGGTTTCACTTGGAGATTGGACTAGGTAAAACAACAATGTGACAATGGGATTTCGGTCCATAGACATTGGTTAACACCCATTCAAACCCATCCTTCACCTGTCTAAACTTCAGGGAAACTGAAAATTGGCCTATCAGTTCTTCCTTACCCTTCAGTACTTCTTTCTTCCACATTGTGACAACACCCCCTGCAGACCCCCATGAGGGCAGAACCGCCCAATTAATCCCCTACCTCTCCATACACTTCTTACCCATTTAATGTCAAAATTTGCTCTTTTAGTCTCTTGCAAGAGTACTACATCCGAATCTATTTTCTTAATGGTCTCTTTTATTACTGCTTTCTTCCTAGCACTTCCTAGCCCTCTAACATTCCAACTTATGATCTTCATTTAGCTGTACTCTTGACCCCTTATTCCTCTTACCCTCACTTATTCCCTTTCCTCCTGTCCGTTTTAACACCAAGACTACTATCTCCTTCCATATCCTTCATCGATCTTTCAACTTCACTTAATTTTTTCCTTTTAGCCTTAGTTTCTTCTCCCTGTTTTTGTAGAAACATTTTTAGGTCATTTGGATTTTTCACTTTACATCCCAACTTCTATACAAAAGCTACCACGGAATCCTCACTAGTCAACTCTCTTTCTTCTGACTTTCTATTCCTCCCTCCTTGTTCTGTTTCCCCACCTTTGTCTCCATTCTCCCTAATTCCTTCTATTCTAATTCCCTATGGCCCTTCCTTCTGTTTATTGCTCATAACTTCTTCCTTTAACAGGCAATCAAGTATTTCTAGGATTCTTTTATTTCCTTTTGCTTCTTCCTCATTTTCTATCTCACCCTCCTGACCCTCCCTGTCTCCATTGCTATCTCTTACCCCATCCCCACCTTCATGGGTAGCAGCCTCTGGATTGTGATCTGTATTTGGCACATAGGACAAAGAGCAAACATTAGTATTACAAACCGAAAAGACACAGTTACCTGGGTTGATTTGGGGAAGAATGGGATTGCTGAAATTGGTTGAAAGTGGGGTTCTTCTAACTCCTTGGTTCAGTTCTGGTAAGAATGCCCTCGCCTCCTCTGTTAAACAGAGATCACTTCTCTCACCCTCCTGTTTGTTCCTACCTTTTGTACCCCCGTTTTGCTTCTGGAAAGTCTCAAATACTTCATTACCAATTTCTTGTATGACAAAATGATTGGGAGAAGCGGCTTTTGAGAATGAGTCAGGCTTTTCACCGACAGCATTAGAGAGATGTTCCATGCTGTTTTGAGTGTTTAGCTCGTTCCTAGCACAGTAATGAGGTTCCGCAGCTTGCACTTCTTGAAACAAAGTTTCCAAGTTAAGAGCTGCGGCGATCTCTTCCTCTGTGACCTTACCGAACTCAGCACTGCCTATGCTAGACTGGCTTTCTAGATCTTCCTTCGTGTCTGCATCTTCGGTATCACAGTCTACCCAGCCTTCATCAAAACCCTTCTCCACGTTACAATCTCTGGCGTATTTGGGATTTGGCCGGTCTGGTGAAGATCTTCCCCCACCCTAGGATTGTCCGAAGCTGTGTGAGAAACCCACTGTAAGGAGCTCGAGTTCCGCACAGTCCTTTTGGAAGAGGTAGCACCTTCTCTACAAGTCTTCTTCGAGGAGGAAGAAAATAGACGGCTTCTATCGACTATAGTCTCCCGCTGCAAACCCCAAATCATGTGCGCACTTAAACATTCACATGGATTGGGGTTCCACCCAAAGTTTGAACCGGTTGGACCTCCTACTGGTTCAGATGCTCTAACTCGCAGCCCACTTCTTTTTTTAACCATGTCAGCGAAAGATGCGCGGCCTTTTGAGGTTACGCCTAATTCAAAATTATTTAAATTTTTTTCTTTAATTAGCATGCGTGGCTTTAGGGCTTCCCCCATCGACTTTTCAGCTTCCACTTTAGGCCGACCTGTAGTTTCAAACTCTCTCTCCACCTGTAAGCCCCTAGTAACCCAGCCTTCCACGTCAGCATCATCTTCAACCTTGGAGCTTCGTTCCCAAAGTTCTGCCTCCAGCTCCGAAACCAACCAGACTTTATACCATATTCCATCCACAAGAACCTCTATTGTTCTTGGGATCGAATCAGGTTTCACCCCGACCATCCTCACCTCAGCAGCTCGAAAGTCTTGCAGCTGAAATTCCTCCATTTCCCCTCCCAAGAGCCTGACGATATTTCCCACATTTGATTCATCCCAGAGATGAAATGGAATTCCTACCAGTTTGAGCAGGAAACTTCCGCCAGGCTGTTCCATCTCATTACATAATGGCTTCCACCTTTGAACTTGGACCATGCCTTCTTCACATTCGAATGCAGTAAAGCCCCTGTTTACCTCATCATTAATTCTTAGTATTGCCTTCCTTGCTGAAAAAGGTTTCAATGCAACCTCAGCCTCCAGATTCAGATTAGGCACAACTGAATCTAGAACCTTCCTCCAGTCTTTTATCTCCTTGTTAACTGAGATCACCAATCTACGCTCCCAGTCACCTTGTTCACCTTCAAGCCACAGCTTCAACCCAGTATTGGAGCTCGATATAACCTCTCCAACATTGTAAGATTTCTGCTTCAAGTGCTGTTCCGAACATTTAAGAAGTGCGGAACTTTGTTCCCTTCTGGTAAACAGACCCTCTGTTTCCTGGCACCGAAGTATTCTGTTATTGTAATAAACCAGCCTTTTTCGTTGCACCTCAGCTCCACTTCGAACCTCTTTCTTTCCATTTCTAACACATTCCTCCAACCAGCTGTTCTAACCGATTGAAGTACACCATCGATAAAACCCTTCAACCATAGAACCGCTTCTCCAGTAAAAATTTCTTTGCTTCAATGTTTAAAACCGATTTCCAACTATTCACCACCTGGAATCCTTTTTCAGTTCTTTTCTCCATCTTCGACAAGATTACAGAACCTAATCGTGACAGAAGATAATCACTGAGAAGATTACATACCCCTGCCTTAGTGTTCCCCACAGAAGATGGTCCTGGTTACTCTTATCTCTTGCAAGGGCATTGACTGAAGTATTATCTGATCAAGATATCTGCTTGAATGAGCAGAAATTGGATGTCAAACTGTACCAACAATATAACTTTTCTACACCTGACAGTACTTCCTCTCCATCCAGCATATCACCACTCTGCAATCCACTTCTACAATCAGATTTGACTACCCCAGGGAGCAGGCTATTTTCAGACCTTGAAGAAGTGCATGAATCTCGGCTCTCAAGGAATTACTGGCCCCAATCAGTCCTGTGAAGCTCATGAGGAAGTTGCTGTTGTGATCTCTCACCACACTCTCCATTCCTGAGGGCCCTGGATTGCCAAGACAGCTTCCATCACAATTTAATTTTAATCTCCTCATCTCTGGTGTTTTTCAGATGGTGGTGACAATATTTCTTGGGTAAAACTTGCCACAGAAGTCCATCCTATTAGAATATCATCCATTGATAGACCTTTAAATTCTTTCTTGTCAACACACCAAGGAGCTGTCTTTACCATACAACTCTCTATTATGGTATCTTCGTCTTTAGCTTCATTATCAAAAATTCTTGCATACCTTTGAAGCCAAAGACTCAATATTACTGCTCTAACGCATGACCACAGAATTTTTACCCCTTTTTTATAGGCCATAATTAAGTGCTGAATAGCTCCAATATGTTTGTAGGATAGAGTCAATTCTATCCAAAAGGGAGAGAAATGAATCCATACCTTATAAGAGTATGAACAGGAAAGGAGTAGATGGTCAATGTTTTCCCCACAACCAAAGAAAAGATGCAACCTAACCCTTCTGAGAACTTTGAAGAAAGAAATCGTCCTGTCTTACCCTAAATTGCATTTTATTTCTTTGTCTATCCCTGGATGAAGTGATTACTTAGCATCTCAAACCTCAGGTAAACCTTTAATTTTGCTAGAGAAACATAAATCCACAAATGAATTCTAGGCTACAGCATTCTACATTTTATCTCATGATATGCATGAATAAATGAAGTACAGCCTATTTGCACTAGTAGAAGCAGAGAGTTTATCCCATGTGCATTTTTTTGAAGAATCATGAATAAAAAATTCATTAAAAGAAAAAAGAGTTACATCCTAACATCCTTGGTTGTCCAGTTGACACACCACATACATTCTGAAAACTTCAAATTGAAAAGGATTCTACATTACAAGGCTGTAATTCAAGGGTATTCCAAAAATTTTCCAACAAGTCGGTCTTGAATTATCCCATGTGCATGCGTGCATGTGTGTAGGTTTGTGTTTCACTTTCACGTGTCTGTGAAAACATATTAGCTCCCTTAACTAGTGCAAGAATAACAGAAGCCTTTCTTCCAAGGGTTCTATCGACTATACAATATAGATGAAACTCATGGAATAAAAAAGAAGATTATCACATATTACCACCATTTCCTGAGTGTGCTTATAATCCTTACAGAGTTAATGGAAGAATAACAGTAGGTTCTCTCAGTGGTCATCCAAATCCAATGCATATAATACTGATGGGGACAAATCAGAGTATTACAAAAGACATATGTTAATGCATTTTTCTAGTTTGCTCAGGCTTCCTCTCTCTTTTTCTGAAAGTGGAAATTGTGTATAAATTCCAGAATCATGATGTAGATGATGATTGTTTCGCTGATATATTGAAGGAGGATATTATTCAGCTTGATATCCCTTCAACATCCTCAGCTGAGTTACCATTGCCTACAGTTGTTGACAAGTCTGTGTCTGAAAGAAATTATGGACAGTCCATATACACAGCCAAGATGCAGGAGTTTCCCTTCCAAGGAACAGCTCAAAGGCGGATCAGACTGAGAAGATTTAAACGAAGTCCATGTGATGCAGACTCATTGGAAGCCTGTGATGATCACCACGTAGCAGCAGTGATGAGGCTAGATGTAAAGCAATCTGTAAATGGTGCAAGGGATACTTTATTGGTTAGGGCAGTCAATTACCGGCTCATACTCTGGTTTTTTCCAATTTTGGTTTTGCTGGTTTTGTTACTTCTGCTGCCTAGGGGAACTGATCATTTCTAAATGTTCTGATATAGTGCCGTTTGATGATTTATGTACATGTATATAATATAGGATATATAGTGAAGTTTGTTTAAGCTGATATTTATGCAATTGCAAGGGATGGTGAAAATTATGTATCATGAGTTTTGCCTTTAATAGATGGGACATTATATTTTCTAGGGTAGGAGACAAATGGGTATGCCTTACAGCCTAAGCAAACTGCAATTTTCAATTTAAATATTTAAATTAATGTATTAATTATTTAATATTAAGTTATTAAGTTATTTAATTAAATTTATTTGCATCCGATTTTCTTATATAACTAAACACTTTGCAACTGTTGAATGTCAACTCATTTTCGTTGTCCTTTCGCAATCTAGGTTTTTACATTTAATTCATCAAGATCATCCTCGTCTAAAACCGTGTTTGACTTGATGCGTGGTGGGGTGGTGGTCAAACGCAGTAGGGTAGGATGTGGTGAAGATAAGAGCTGATGAGGTGACTGGAGGATGACCTGGGTATATTTGGGGCGATATACATATTGAGCCTCATTTATACGTCTTTGGAAAGGCCAAGGTGTAGGGAGAGGGGTGTCAAGTGTGGTGTGCTGGCATGTGGGATAACCGGATAAGATATGAGAGTGCTTGATGTGAGGTGGAACTTCATTTATACATTTCATCAAACATGATATGATTCTAAGTATTGTAGGCTGGTAGAGATAGGGGTGCTAGGGTGGAGATGGGGGCCATGAGGTGATATATGATGTTAGCATATATAGAGGTGCAAGTCTGGCTGGATGGGTCAGGTTTAAGCTCAACTCAGGCCCAATCCTAAGAATTAGACCTAAGGCTCGAGCTCAAGGTTAACCCCAATCTATTTAACTTGAGCCCAGCTTGTATTGAAATTTGATGCATTTTGGTTGGGTTCAGGGTCAGCCCAAATTTTGGATTGGTCAATCAACCCAAATTAAAATTTGACATAAAACATATGTATATATGTACACATGTATGCAAATATGTATGTGTAGACTAGTTGTACTTCAGTTATCTGAGGGCTAGGTTCAAGACCAACCCAAAAGCTAGAAAAGCCTGAAAATCAAGCCCAGATTCTATCAAAATTGAAAGTTGGGTTAGTTTGGGCTTGGTTGGGCCGGCCCACATATGGGTGTCCGAATCTCTTGCCAATAGAATATATTCCAACATCCTACCAACATGATCTGACACAGCACATCTCAGATATGGTGGGGTCCTAGTTTCATGAAGAGATGTGTGTTGGTAGGGTATTGGAATGTGTTTTGTTGGCTGGAGATCCCAACTGGAAGTTTGGGGTGATACACAAAATCAAGCCCATGAAGTAGAACCTCATTTATACATGTAATTAAATGTGTGGCACTCAAGTACTAAATGCCAGTGGAGATGGCGAGTGAAGGATGAGATAGGCAAAGTTGAAAGCATTGATCAGTAATTGATACTTGTTTTCTTTTTGAATGTATCAAGGCAAAGTAAAAAAGAAAAGCATTTGCATATGTATACTCTTCTCGCTTTTTATTATTTTGTTTCTCAAACCACGATGGGGAAAGAGAAACCACTCATCTTTGATACACCCTTACGACGAGCTCAGATCTCCTCCTATCCACAGGGATCTATCCATAGACACTACAGCTGTATATTTGAAATTTACAAACGAGCACCCCGGAAGCCATGAGCCTCTTCCCAAATAATCCGGGAGAGCTTAGTAGGGAAAGACAACGGGGGGCAATATAGCCTCATTTACAGACTCAAAAATCCCAGACAAAAAATTTGTAGCCCTGTTCATTTCTCTATAAACATGAACAAAAGAAAGGGAGGCAGCTCTGATATGCTCAAACAGCTCCCAAACCTTCCACGGAGGAGAGTCCGTTACCTTCAAGCAAGAGATCACTGACTAAGAGTCGGTTTGTACCATTATCCGATGGAGGTTCAAGTTCTTTGCAGTCCTCAAGAGGGACCATCGCTGCATAAGCCACGATATATGGGCATCCCCTGGTCATCTCTGATGATGAAACCCAAGCCGCCTCTAGAGCTAGAAAAGGTCCCATCGGTATTCAAAGTTTCAAACACAACATACCATCCGGAGGGGAAAGCCAGCAGAAAGACGAAGGCATCTCTTGGGGTGAGGAACAATTTAGGTTCCAAGACTCGCATAAGCATTGAACCAAGGGGTAGTCTTTGGATCTTCCATTTTATGCTATGAGCTTTAGTTGAGATGTCTACAATAACATGAGGAGAAAGAACCAAATCCCAGGATAGAGATTTATTTGAAAAACAACACATGTTTCTTTTGGCCCAAATATGATAAGTTTCGAAAGGCCTCACGCTTTACTTTGTTGTATGATCTAGATGATTTCTCGGCTCCATGAGTCTTTCCTGATCCATTCCAAACTACATTTAGCCAAGATAACTCACCAAATATTGTTGGTGTAGTCACAAGAAAAGAAGAGGTGATCATGGGATTCCTCCCCTGGGAGAGATAGAAGGAAGACCGTGATGGGCAATATGGTAATATGTAAATACGGAAGATGTTCCAATGTACAACTCTGTGGGTAGAATTCTTCTAGATAGGAGATCATGGGCATTACTAATGCAACTCCTATCGACATGATTTAATCTCAGAAACAATATCATGGAAGACAAACTAGATTTTGCCTATTAACTAGACAATTTACTAGAGCAGCGGCATAATCAAAGAAAAAGGCAACTCTCTCCGGATCCAACTGTGGGAAAATTCCTGGGCTTCTAAAAACAGGGGAGATCTAAGAACGTACATAGCAAAGATAATACCCAAATAATTGCCTTGGCCATAAAAAATAACCAAAAACTAAAGGAGAGAAGGCTCCATCCCCCACAAGTGAGACAAAACATATATTTTGCGTGTTGTGATGGATAACGGCATTAATAAGTCTTATGAGATGCCTCCCAATTACGAATGCCAATGGGGCCGATTTGGAGAGGATTTTATAAATTTTAGACCCTATCTGCCACCCTAAATTTATCAACCCATACCTGCCTCAAAACCCATAGTGGGTTGGATTTTGAAAATCCAAACCCTACCTGCAAATGAAAATGCAAAACTTTCATCAACCTTACCCTTCCAGCATTCAAGGATAGGGGCAGGTTGGGTTTAGAACCCCACATCTAATTTCCTTTTATTTTTTGTCATAGATAAGTAATAAATAAGAAAAATAACACAAATAAATAAAAAATTTTGCAATTATTTAATTAAGATGTGCAAAAAATACTTAAGTCATCAATTATCCTTCATGTAAAATTTAAAATATTATTAAATTCAAGACCTAGTACAAAAAGTTTATATACTTTCCAACAATATGTAGGTCGAGGAGGGTCAGGTTTAGCCTAATACAGTACTCATACGGGTTGTAAAATCCTAAAACTCGTACCCGCCCCAAAACCCATTCTTCAAGCAAAAAAACCCGGCCCATTGGGGAGGGTAGGGGCAGGCACCCACTAGGTGGTGTGCGGTAGTATAGTGAATCCATGAGATAGTGGGTTTCAAAACACACCACACCACTTTAATGCGTTCTTCTATGGTGTTGTGTGGTTTAAAATCCACTATCTCATGGTGTGGAGTACACCAACACCAAAATGAAACTCACTATCTCGGTTGAAGATGATAAAATGAAAAAAAAAAAAAAAAAGAAGCTCCAACATGGACTCACAAGTTCCTGGTTCAAGCTTGGAGTAGTGTTGTCGCTTTTATTCTCAGCATAAGCACTTATTCCTGGCTTATTTCCCAAACGCCAATAAGTATTTATTGATATGGTCCCAGCCCTAAGCACTACCAAACTTGGTCGGTGCTGTTGCTATACTTAAACTACTTTGTGTGACATGATATCATAGAACATTAGAATTTCAAGATTTCTTTTCTTTTTTTTTTTTTTATGGATAGGGAGACAAACAACGCCAAAACTAAAAAGAAGCATGATGCTTGGTAAAATGGCCCCAGGCCCCAGGCATCAAAGACACAAATATATAACTTTGAATCCAACAGACTTAATCTAAAAAAATTTGACTCGTGCCCCAAATAAGCCAACCTATTCACCGAGAAATTCGCTTCTCTGAAAACATGCACGTAGGAGATATCGAGACCGCAACGCTAATACAAGGCAAGGCAATATTGGATGATGATGCTGACATTCCACGAAGGCTTTACCCTTCTATTATGATCTTCGAGCAAGGAAATCTAACTGCCACCCTATGAACTTCGAGAGCACTCCAAGTAATCGTTCATTCTCTAATATCTCTATAGCTGGTCCATAAGGTTTTACCCTCATCGTCTCTTGCTATAACACCCATGGCACTTCGACCATTCGGATTCCGAGAGGCGTCAAAGTTGATTTTCACAGAGCCATAGTTGGGTTTCATCCATTTGATTTGTTTATCTTGTACAGTGATCTACATCTCAAAATTGGGAGGGGAGAGACTTAATATATTCCCTCCACTCCGAATTTGCCTTATCCACTAACAGTGATATGGGTATCGATTTATTTATTTATTTTTTAATTTTATTATTTCTCCTCTTCCAAATGTTCTAAACGATAACACTCACTCTCTCTAAAGAGTAAGTGGTCCCATCAAGGTTCAAAATATCGATACATCGGTAGGGGTGTATTAAGCGAATCGATATTGCTTTTTGTGCCATTTTTTTTTAATTTTTTTCGCAACCGATTCAGAGGGGGGCAATTTAGGACTCCTCCACCCCGTAAACCAGTCAGACCCCCAATACACTCACTGTGTGAGTGTATCGAAGGGATTCGGAACGATACGTATCGACCGATATGGGCTGAAACTTTAAACCTAAAATCCCATTATCCTCCGTATTAGTTACATGATCCCACCAACATGGAAGCTCTTCCCCCGGGGCTGGAACCAAGATAACATTCCGAAGGATTGTGCATACTTGACAGGAACCCTCACACTAGAGAAAGAGATGATTGGCATCCTCTTCCCCATAAAAAGGGCAATCCGCTTCAACCCTGAGCCCTTAGTTTTTGAGCTTTAATTTGGTTATGAATTATGATCTTGTTTCTTATTGCTAAGTACATTTAATATTGAATTTTGGGAGGGCAGTTTATCCTTCATAATTTTGTCTCATTCTGGTGTCCAGAGTGTTGTTGTCCA